AAAATCCATCAAAGAGCATGCCTATAAAATATTAGTAGGACCGCAAATGGAATACGCTGAATTAGGATGGAAACGCTTACAAACAAGACGAAAAGAAGCTCGACTCATCATGTGTTACAAAATAACAAACGACCTTGTAGCCATAGACAAGAGTAAATATCTACAAAAACCAACAAGAAGCTCTAACCGGACAGGACACCATACTTACCTATTACAGCCAGCCACCAAAGACTGTAGGAAATGGTCCTTCTTCGTAAACCGTCAAGGTTTCGAACAAACTACCACAAGATATCGCCACAGCAAAGTATCTTGAGATATTCAAGTCTCAAGTGACCAAAACCTCAAACTAAATCAACAGAGCAATTTGTTTTTAACCTGTTTTTAATCATGCGCAACTTTCCAGAATATTCATCATGTTGAATGTTGGCAGTATTTGGAAGAAGAAGAAGAAATGTATTTACAGTTATAGAGAGCGAGAAAGAGAGAAGAAAGAGATTGTTTGACACTGCGAATTGCAACCACGAATGTATGAATGTGTACATTCTAAGAGTTGTGAGATTACGACAATGGGACAGCACCCATCGACATAAAAAATCAAAAGACATCTAGAGGTAAAAATAGGTTTTTAGAGCAACAGACAAGTGCCTGTACATGTCAAGCTCTTAATGAGTCGAGTCTAGTTACACCTCTGTCCCAGGTTATGGGGAGGATTTGGCGATCCCAAGTATTTTTTTTAAATCCCGCCACATTTTTGAAGTAACTATCCCAAGCCATGAACTTGTAATTCAGTGGCTGTCTAGGTTGCTGTCTGTCATATTAGTTTTTTGTTTATTGGTTTGTCATAAAAAAGCAAGCCGTTTGTTTTACTCGTTCGAATTGTTTAGGTTCACATTATGTCATGTCGGGGCCTTTTATAACTGACAATACGGGTTTTGCTCATTGCTGAAGGCCGTACGGTGACATATTATTGGTTACATCCACATCATTTGTTCTCTTGTGGATAATTGTCTCATTAACAATCATACCGCATCACATCTTCTTATTTTTACACTAAAAAAAATAATTAACACAAAGATAATCAAACAGCTGCCACTATCAGCACCCATTAATTTCACATAAATGATAAACAAGTAAGATATGACAAAAGACAACGGCTAGCAATTTTTCTGACTAAAAAATCGTTGTTTTAGTTGTATTGTTTTTTTCTCTCGACCAGTACAATGCCACTTAGATATATGCAATATGGGATAACAGGAATTATTTCATATCGGTTTAGAATTAGCTTCTCTATTGGATTACAAGGGACCACATGACATTCTTTATTCTTCAGTAATAAATTCTTTAACAGAAAAAAACGGACCAGAAAACTGGTCGTTAACGGACTTTAACATATTAATGACCGGTGGGGCGTGGTTTCTCTGTTTAAAGTGACGTCCCTCTAATAAAACGCCAACACGAATCGTTAATTTTAAAATAATAGAAAACTTTATTTTATATTCATGTACTGAAAAATTGCAAATAAATGATTAGCAGTGACTTATAGTTATCACTATGACTGGTCTTCCCTCAGAAATCGTACAATAACTCGAGTTTGCTTTGAACAATTTGAATTAATGAGAATTTTTAAAAACATGGTTCCTCAATGAAATAAACATAATAGTTATTGAAAAACTGGTCATTATATTGATACATGGACTGCCCGTAGGACAGTGGTATTGACTGCGACAGCAATAATGACCTCGCCTATATACGGCTCAGTCATTATCGCTTTCTTAGTCAATACCACTGTCCTGTGGGCAGTCCGTATATCACGATAATGACACGTTGGACAATAACTATATATATTATGTAAATATCTTTATATTAGATGGTCACGAGACCACCAACAAAATAAGGACGGAACGATTTGCATTTACTAGTACTATATAGTACCACAATTTCAACTTATTCCTTTTTGTCCTTTGCATGTTATGAAGTTATGTTTTGCTTTTTAATTGTTGCAATCTTATTATTGCCCTTTTCGTTTTTAATACTTTTTCAAAGGGTGGTATACATGTATTTTGATTGCGGATGTTGTTAATTGTTATTGTTTGGGGTATCATATTCTTTTTTTTTTTTCTTTCGCTTTTTGGTATTTTCCTTGTTGTCTCCATTCTCTAACCTGTATAACTGGATATTCAACGAAAATGTGTACTTTTTATTTTAAAATCAAATCCATTATATGCTTGTGTTATCTATTGCATGTAGGATGAACTGATTGCGTGATGTTATGATTGCATATTACATTTTGTAGTATAGATTTCCATTTGTACTTAGCATGCCGAATAAATATCTGCGTTTCGGTTCCCAACAGTATATCAGAATTGCTGTACGAAATGCGATATATGCGGGTGTTGCATTTTAATGCACGAGACTGACATATCTAGTGTAAAGGCGTTGTAAAAAACTAACTGAAAATAATATTTTCATACATTTAGCTATGTGCAATGATTTTCAGTGGAATACAGAAGAAGATGAGCAGATTTTTACAGGTAAAGCTTTGTTCTTTTTCTCTCTCACAAAAATGATGAACATTTGTATGTGATATTCTATAAAAGAGTAGTAAATGTATATGATACCAATACCATATCAGTTTACCAAACGTCGTGTTTCTGGATAATCGTCATAAAGTACATTCGAACCAAAACAATAGGAAGCCAAAATAAATCAAATATTTGGGAGCATTAAAACTAAAGAAGAAACTCCTTCATGGAAAGTATATCTCAATAAGGACCTGATTTTTCAGATTTATGTCCTTATAAAATTGCAAATGATTGAGAGTTGCTGTTTCACGTCACTTTCAACACTTTGAAGTTTCGGCTATATCGTGTCGGTCAGTATGTCCGAAGAGCTCGGAGTACCCGGTTGCACTACCGACCTTCGGCAGGAAAACTGGCAATCCCAGTCAATTATGATCGGAGTCGAACGCACCTAGCTGCTTCGCCCTAAGAGAAATACTGTAGCTGAACTAATTCAGGCGGAAACCCAGTTGAAATTAAACAAAAGAAATGGAACTCTTTGTTAGAGAAGGTAAAAAAGGAAAAGTTAGTATATTCGAATAGTTTACATCTGTTTCTATGGGCTTTAAAAGTTTAATAAATGTGCCTAATTTAAGATTTTATGCATCTTATGTATGTGTTTTTACTTAAATTATTGAATTAAGCTTCGAGATATTTGTAAACTTTTAAATTATAGACAAATTTTCACAAAACAGCTGATTGTGGTAGGTGTAAATTCTCGTGGATCTTTTTTGTGCATATTAAAGCATAAATTCCGCCGAAAAAAAATCCAAAGAAAGACATTAGATTTATCTTCTTAAAGCATCAATTTGCATTTCTGCCCTCGGTGACAGTTTTTTTGGGAAAAAATCCCCAAAATTGGCAATAATTTCATCGAAAAGAGAAAGTCGAGTACACCTTTTTAGGTTCAGACGTGTTTGAGTTGACTATTCTGTCTTGAAAACGTATAAAAGAAAAATATTCGATACATCATCTCGCTTCAAGTTCTATTATTTTTTTTATATATTCAGACTGTAGGTTGATACAAAAACATTCAAACTTTACAGTACTCAAAGATGAAATATATAGGTCAAGTGAAATACCTTTCTGTCATAACAACAGACGGTAGGCGTGTTTGAATATCACATTTTTTACTAAAAGTATTTGACGACAAACTTTTCTTGTGGATCTTAAAAATGCATAACTTAAAAAAAAACTTCATTTTGTGTGTGTGTTAACTATGGTAATTAGTCTTCAACCTCTGAATTTTTTTAGTCTGCTCTTCCACGAAATATTTAATTAGAATTTTTTGATTATTTTTGCAGGGGCGGATCCAGCCATTTATAAAAGGGGGGTTCCAACTATATGTCCCCATTCAAATGCACTAATCGTTAAAAAAAGGGTGGGTTCCAACAACCCCCCCCCCGATCCGCCACTGAAATGACGCTCAATAGCTAGTAGATACATTTGTCTTAGATACAACTGGCAAATAAGGATCGTAATGATACTATGTGGATAAATTTATCGGTTTTCAAGAGCTAAATTGACAGCGCATTATCACTACAATGGCTTCCATTTTTACGATTATAAAAATTAGATGGCGTAATGGGGAGATAATTTTGACGAAGTAGAATCCTGACTGAATTAGACCAGTAGGTCACCGAGGCCATGCAATTGACGAAACTCTTTTGGATTAACTGATTTTACTCCTTACGTGAGATCAAACTTACTAAACAAAGAAATGTAATGAATAAATGGAATTATAGAATAACTAAACCAAGAATTCAAATATCAAAAACTATTCAACGAGTAACCGAATTGCACATTAATTCACGAGCGCAAATTATCCCGGGGTTTGGTTAATAGTTGAATATTTTTCGATCATTGAATTCCTTGATACATTATTCTTTTATTAAATTGGCTTGTAATAAATGTAAATAACGTATAAAAAGGAAGGAACTATATCTTTTTCTACACCATTATTTCGTTTTGATGCAAATAATTGAAAACTTGACAACACCAGTATATGACTTCAGAGGAGTGAAATGACTGGATTTGTTTCATATGTGAAATTATCGGTTTTGATTGACTGGGAACGCACGGTATACTTCTTAAACATGTAGAGAAAATAAATGCCAGTACATATATCAGATTATATTTTTTCATATTTTTTGTTATCAATTATACTTTTAAATTATTGTATTGTAGTGGGTGCATGGTTAATATGAATTATACGAGTTGTAAATGCACTAAAGGTTCTGTTGTAACACAACACTTTTCAAGACACACAGATCATAAACAATATATTCAGCACGATTACATGCAGTGTCATTTAATTTATCCTTCTACACTTTAAAAAGACAATTGAAAGAGTATATAAATGTAATTTGTATTTACTTAACAGAGCGAACCTCTTAGTAGATTAAAGGTAAATCATCGATACAATGTTTCTAAAACAGATGATCTTGATATGTTACCCCGTAACAATAGCCCCCTCCTGAGATCCAACATGGATGTATGTGCATTTCAGTTTCTTATCTTGATAGGATATTATATGTAAGCTGTGTAAAAACCTGTCATGTTGACAGTCCAACTGACAAAACAGGATTATTCTTGATAAATATTTTCAAAAAGCTGTCATTCAAATTTTCTGTGGATAATGGTAAGTTTATTTTCTTACACTCGATGTATTTAAGTTATCCTGTAAATAAATTAAGAGAAGAATAAATGTGTGGTGATCAACACCAGATCACTGTAAAATGAAATAACATATCTGCGCAAGAAAAAATACAACATCTAAAACAATGGTTTTGTAGTCCCCAAAAATGCATATAGTGTCTTCTGTTACCTATTCTAACACCGGACTCGGACTGAATTTTACTGTGCGTATTGCTATGTGTTTGTTTATTCTACATTGGCTAGAGGTATAGGGGAGGGTTGAGATCTCACAAAACATGTTTAACCCCGCCGCATTTTTTGCGCCTGTCCCAAGTCAGGAACCTCTGGCCTTTGTTAGTCTTTATATTTTCTTTATTTTGTTTCATCTATATGTTTCGGAGTTTAGTGTGACGTACATTTTCTCTGAACTAGTACACATTTTTATTGAGGCGCCAGCTAAAGCCTGCCTCCGGGTGCGGGATTTTCTCGCTGTGTTAAACCATTGGTGGCCTTGGGCTGTTTTCTGCTCTTTGGTCGGGTTGTTGTGTCTTTGACACATTCCCCGTTTCCATTCTCAATTTTATGTCCATAGTCAGGAACATTGCTATAGTTACTACGTTATTTGGTCTGTATTGGAAAGTGGTTTCATTGGCAATCAAACTTAATCTTTTTATTTTCATATATAACAGTTACCCTAAAGTTTTCAACAACAAGCCAGTCAGGTTTAGAATGATTGTTTTTACCTTGTGCATCATTGATTTCAATACTCAATATGTGTTGTTTATATATCCAGACAGTCAACAGAAAATACAAATATGTACATTAATATATGTTTTAGAGTAGATCCGTTTCTGTAAGGTATACACACAGATGCTAAAAGTAAGCTAAAAATAACCTATTTTAATTGACAGATGAAAAAGGACCTTCAGCGTTTTAATATTGGCTTCGGTATTTCTGAATAAACGATAGAATGATATCTTCATGTGCTGATTGTCGAATCAATATCATTAACTTCCCAACGTATCAACCACCACCACCAACATTGAGCATTTTGAACAGTTCAAAGTTGGGACGTAAGAATATAAAATGGAAATTGTACTTTTTAAAGGCGTGTCCGAAGCTCTTTTCTGATTTACCTTCATCAGGAACGCTCAAACCGCAAATTTGGAAATTAAGAATGTATAAGGCCACTCCAAATTGAACACTTGTTCTTTAGACTTTTGATACAAAATGTTTTTTTCATGTTTCCAAAATTGAGTGCGAGCGAATCCGAAGAAATATGAATTAATTTGGAGTGGCCTAAATTCTTAAATACCAGAGGACCTGTATGACCGAAAGGGTTCGGCCAAAAAGATAGATTATAATAACAAAATCTACCTAAGCTCATTTGTTTGCCCGTGAGAGTTGAATCCTTCGTTGTTGTTTTTTTTAATAATTTCGAAATCTACAAACGGAGCATTTAAGAAAGGTATATTATATAATAACACTTTGAAAAGTTGGTTCGTCCGAAGCGCTTTTTTGGATCAATACTCACTAGTAACAGGTTGAAAACTAAGGAAAATTGAAAATTGTGGACGTAAACTAGGGAAAAGCAGGTGCGCGTAAATTAAGTTACCATGCAGGATGGAGGACGCTGATATATTTATATTTGAGGAGCTATATGAGGAAACAGACTTAAAAGGAATGACCGAAACGATCTAAGATAAATTTGATTGAGGGAGTTGGAAATCTTAGTTTCTTAGTAATTTCCAAATATCAACGGAAAATTTATGTTATTTATGTTGGAACAACTTTAGAGTTTGTTTGCTTTATGAACGATATTGCCATAATACTATTTTTACTTTGTAAAATACTATAATGAACTAAATTCTTTTAAGTGGCACCAAACTTCAAAGCAACAAGTTCCTGTATTTGTAGTAAACAGAGACATATAATACAAGAGATTCGCAACTCGGCGAAATCCCGTAATAACACGCGGCCACTAGTTAAACCTCGCGAGATCTCCTTAGGTAATAAAGTCATTAATAAAAGTATTAAAAGTACTCGAAGTAAGGACGAATGTTTAAGCATAACATAAACTGTTTCAGTGTTAAATTTATCATAATTAATTAAATATAATTTGAGTACATATATAATTATTTATTTTAATGTAATTTTGATTTTAGATTTGTATTATTGAAATAGAGACATAATTTGATATTGTATAAAAAAAAAAACTGATATTAAATAATTAACACTTAATAAATTGTGTCAGAGTTCATTTTATTTGATAGTTACATAATGGGTTTCTATTGAATATACACCTGTCTCGGAGACATAATTTCACAGTGTGACATGTATATTAGGTTTGAATTATTCGATGACCAGGTAAATCACGAACATGTTATAAATAATGAGTTTTAATTGACACCTTGTAAACAAGAAGTTGTCACACCACAGGTGTCCACACTCTTTCCAAAAATACAAGTCACAAAATGTATAATTAATTAATATGGAAAAAAAACTTAATTTATTTGTTAATTAATTGTTAATCATGATAGGCTTTGTTTTTTATTCTTGATATTTATAAATTATTAAAATTTTATTTATTTTTATATTCCTCATTTATTGGGCTTTCATTGAGTTTTTTTTCTGTAGGATTGTCGGTAAATGTTTGATTTCTAAGTGTTGTTTGACAGTTTTATCATATAGGCTTGCATTGAGTTGTTTTTTTAAATGATTGTCGGTAAATTTATGGTTTCTTCATGTTCGAAGTGTGTATTGAGAATTAATATTTAAGAAAATTACAATTAATTTCTCTTTTGAATAAAGCTTCATTCATGTGCACGCAATATGGAAAATTCCGATTTTATTTCGTGGGATGACAACCTTTATTTCGTGGGATGACAGTCTTAATAGTTACGACTTAGATATACTCCTAGTTGAATAAACTGATAACGAACTCTTTGTTGATAGTGAAAAGGACGAAAACATAAGCGAGAGACCCACCAACAAAAACAATTGACAATACTGCATACATAGATGGATATGTGTGTCCTCGAAGCAACAAAAAAATATATAAAAAAACACAGGTCATACATCAAAGCAACACGGAAGACACTATTTAAAAAGTATTTTATAACCTTGTTACCACGAGACAATCATTTGTAGTGGTTTTTGTCTTTTAATCATTTGTAGCGGTTTTTGTCTTTTTATTCTGGGGTAAAGAGATGGCAATTTAAAAGTAAGATTGTTTAAGTGTATACATATACAAATCCTTGGTGTAAATAAAATCTTTTATTATCAAATATATATATATATATATATATATATATCTCTTTTGCAGTCACCATTGAAATGTCCTCAATACGATTTTAATTTAAAAATGAATTAGGTTCATGTTTTGAACGAGAAGCGTAGTCTGAAACGACAACAGATGCATATGAAGCTCATTCATAATATTACGACCAGCAGAAGGTTTCCTTTACTAGGAAAATTTTACTCCTTTTGTAAATTTACTGCATTCGTTCATCTTTGGCACCCTAAAAAGAAGAAAAAAACAATGACTTCAGAATAGGAGAAAATAAACAACTTTGCTATAAACAGAATGAAAAATGAATAAAATGTCTAACAAAATGCAGGCAATAAATTTCATAGTGCACAAAAAAGAAGGACTGATTTAAGGAAATTTGTCCATGAACAATTTCAATATTTAGCCAGTTTAATAAAAAAATTCGGGTATCAATCAGAAAAAATCGCCACATTCTTGGATCAAATTTTACGAAAATAGTCTTATTTTCACGAAACAACATTTGGGAGTACTATTGGCTCATAAAATTATATATTTATTAGCATATTTTCAAGTTTAAAAAAAAAAATTGGGAGATCAAATGGTTTCTACGGCAATAGGTGAAGTAAAATGGGCCGAGTTTTAACTTTGTTTGTATTTGATTAATCCAGAGACATATAATACAATTGTATTATATGTCTCTGTAGTAAATAACAGTTTTGACACGAAAACTACATTTTAACGATCTAAGATAATTTGTTTGAGGGAGTTGGAACCTTGGTTTCTTAGTAATGTCAAGATGTAGTTTTTCACCAATGAAAATATTGTAACACTCATTCAAATTTAAGAATCTGCTACAAACAAAGTTATATTTATTCTTTCCGAAAATGGAAAATCATACTATAAAAAAGGAAAGCCGTTTATAATAAATTTATGTATGAACACTCGTGTCTTTTTGTTAATCGATTTTGTGCTTAGTACGCGTACCGATCTGATTAGTAAATATTTGTCCAACAGATTTTTAACAATTTGTTCTTATGTTAAGATAAGATAAAGACGTTTATTGCAATAAGCACAAATATGCTATAGCATATTTAAATCACAACATTATAATGTGTAAGCAACATAAATTTGTAATAATATAATAATATAAAGTTATATAAAACAGCAGAGAACACAATAAACTTTATGAACACTTTGTATATGAAAAAAGACAATATATATAACTACGCTAATATGAAATTTCTCAGTTTCCAACTTTCACGTAAAAAAACACATCAAATTGTAAATAACTGTTTGTGTTTGAACTTGCAGTAATAATTACAGTTTGTTAACATTTGGCCATGTCTAATACTATCTTGAGAAGTATTTTAGTCTATACTGTCTATATGCTGGACATACCATAATAAAGTGATTTTCGTTCTCTGTGCATTGCATAGAACAACATTTACAAATTCTATCCTCCCTTCTTTGGTTTATACAGTTTTAATACACCAAATCTTAATAAAGACAACATTTTAACATTGATATCTTTCAATATATATTGTTCCATCTTAAAATCTGTTTTATTATTTTATACAATATAAGTTTTTCAGAGCTCTGTACTATGTTGTGTTTTCATGTCACTTTCTCAGATTAGTCGTAGCCTGGCGGCCACCAGCATGTTAAATACGCCGTATTCTTTGGGTATATGTCCAAGCGAAGAACCTGTAATCAAGTAGTTGTCGATGGTTGCT